TGATATAAAATTTTATATAAAATTAACTATAAATTTTATAATTAACAAAACTTAACTTGTGTTCAAGACAAACCCTTCTATTATTAATACAAAAATTAATTTACTCAATTTCAAACGTTTAAAAATTTACATGTCACTTAATTTTTGTCTATCTAACATAAGAAAAAATAAGTTACAGTAAAGAGATAAGAATCATGAATTTTTGTTGGTTATCGATGAAATAGTGAGATGTGATAGTATTCCTTGCGCTCCTTCAAACGTGTTAAATAAAGGTCTTGAAGTCTTAAATCTTAATCTTATCTTTTTCAGCAGTGCCATGCCGCTTTTACTCGTGGGTAGCACTACTAGCGCATGGCTGTAGGCCTGTAGTTGCATCACATTGCATTGAAGACTTGAAGTCTTCTCAATCTTATCTTCTGCAGCAGTGCCATACCGCCTGTTAGCACGACTAGCACATGGCTCTAGTTGCCTCACAGTGCGTTGAAGACTTGAAGGTTTCTTAATTAATCTTATCCTCTTCGGCAGAGCCATACCGCCTGTTTACTCGTTGAGTATTATTTTTATTATTTTTTTGTGACTTCTTTTCTGCACCTGAGGTTCTAAACCTCCCGTTACCACCTAATAGTTCAAGTGTACAGTGCACTGCTTAAGAGAGTCGTACGACTTCCAGAAGGCAGCTTGGTAAAGAAACAGCGGAGGACTATACCACCACTCATGACCTAAAGTAAGTGTATCCTAAGATTCTGAGTCCCATTTTATGCAAGTTACAAGTATTCAACTTAGGGTGAGGTTATGGTGCTCACTAATTTTATTAAAAATTATTAATTTTACTTATAATTTTATTAATTTATAATTTTTTATACAGTTAATTATATTTAAAAATATCTATTTATAAATTAATTTTAATTTGTTACTATAAATAATAAATAGGGTAAATACAAAATTTAATTCTTAACTTTTATGATAAATATTAAATATTCCCTCAACCTTTTGTTTAGACAAAAAATGGTCTTCAACCTTTTCAAAATTATCAAACTTAATCCTACACTTAGTTATTTTTTAATGGATTTGTTTAACATGCATCATAAGAGTATAGATTAAAAATGTATTAAA